TAAAAGTAAAGAGAATTATGACAGAAAAAAGCAGAATGAGTTATGTGCACAAATTACCAGGTTTAAGAATTATATATTTGACTTCCCCGATTCTATGCACGAAGTCTAATCATATACCTGGCATACGTATATATTGATTATTTTTTCCAGAACCTCTTATTTTGGAAAAATGGCACTTATGTGCCTAAGTAATGTTATATTCTCTTTGATGCCTTCTATATTTTTGGTAATTTTATTGTGTAAAGCTACGGATTCCAAGACTTTATTTCAGGAGAAATGACACTTTGTACCTGATTGAACTTGTGTCTTGTTCGCGTCTATTTTCTGATAAGATTACTCAAACAGCAATCTATTTAATTTTGGGTATATATACTGACTCATGATAATTAATTTCGAATTGAAAAAAATAAGTAGGTTAATCTATAATCACATTCTATTTATCGATATAGATTATTTACATATCTATCATAGCAACTGTCCAAAAAACTAGAAAACCCAAAACTAATAGCTTTATCTCTATTTTGGATCAGGTCCTCAATAAATATAACTTATCGGCCGAATCAAACCTGCTTCAATTATGTGCTAATGCCGATGAGCTTAGTACTATGCTACTGGATTGGAAGGCTCGTAAAAATGTAAAAAAGGCTCTCTGTCAGTGCTTATTCAAAGAAAATCAAATAGGAGCTCTGGTTCAAACAACAAAAAGAAAAGGCTTACTATTAAGAAAAGAGCTCAATATTGTGCAAAAACTAAAGATGTGTGAGATATTTGGTTACATGCTTTAGACTTAGCTGTGCCAAAAAATAATATAGATGAAGCAATTGTGGCAGCCAGTTCTTGTATTTCACAATTTTGTAGAGAGTTAGCAAAAGCTGGGGTTGGTTCTGAGCAAATTTATATATATGCCAAATTACCAGAAGTTATTTAAGCTTCTAACAAAATTCAAAAGAGGCAACTCAAACAGCGATTACCCAATCCACCTAAAACTCCCAAACACTTTTCCTTAGAGGAAGGACTTGGAAGAATTCAAAATATCAATACTACTAAAATCTCTACTATGCAAGATCTTGCAGATGTAATTATAATGTTAAGTATGAGACCCGCCAAAGTTGCCACTCTTCATATTATCCATTATGAACCCGGTGAATTGAATCCTCCTGAATGATACAAGCCTGGTTATTCTTGATATTGTATCAGGTATATTAAAAATAAAGGAGAAGCAAAAAATAATCTTGAACCTTGGCAATTTCTATTCATGGAAAAGAATCCAGAACATGCAAAAGAATTGCTTACCTGGATCTAAGATGCAATAGCAACTAGAAAGTTATGCAATCCTGTCTATAATATTATTAGAAAATGCAGTACAGAAATATTTAGTAAATTTTTAAAATCATATAGTATTATAGCCAAAAGATTAAGAAAAATTGGAGGTAAACATGCTTCTAGAGTTCATAGTAGTCAAAATCCAACTTCGCAATATCTTAAATTCCTTAGCAGAGTTGCAATGAGGCATAAAATGGATCATCATAATTCTGGAATGTATTATGCCAAGAGTGATACTTCCGATTCTGACCTTAACTCAGATCCAGAATCTGAACCTGAAGCCCTAGCTCCCACACCCAAGGCAATTAATAAGAATACTTCTAAAATTGAGGATATCTATGACTTATATAGGAGTATTTAGATTAGTTTATAACTTATTTATTCATTCACTATAACCCAGCTTTACCGCTTTGAACCTGCTTTACAATAATTAGACTTATTAGATATTTTTTAAGTAAAGTTATATATGCAAACTAACTCACTAACCGCACTTATTCATAAACTAAAAATTGTCCGCAACTACTATCAAAGATCTAGCGATCTAGGCTCATACTTATTAAATAAAGAGTCTTAGTTAATAAAATCAAAATATAAACATGCCCAATATTCAAGATATTTGTAAAGAATGGACAAAAAATAATTATACCCGATACATGTTAACCAAATATGGTTTAAACTATATCAATAATTTTAAAACACCAGAAGCTTGGTTACAATTTGTTAAGTATCATCTGCCCAAATATATATGTAGACATTTATTAATACTAGAATATGATATTATTAGTAAGAACCATTAGGAAAACTTTGTATTCCGTATTAAAAATAATCTAACCAGAAATGATTCCATAGCTAATAACTCTGAATTTAGAAAATTTTTAATCCAAGTAGCATATTTTAAAACTTTGCATATAAAAAATCGATCGGCTATTATCATCCAGCGAGCATATTGCATATCGGCAGATTTTTGAAATTATTATTAAAAATTCTAATAATAATTAACTATGAATAACTTTTGATCCACTGGTCCGTTTTCGATGAAACAATTACCAAAATGTTTATCTCGATGAGACAATTCTAATGGACCCAAAATCATCAAAATCTAACCACAGAATCCTGATATTGTTAATGATTTGTTTCACTTCAGGTGTTTTAGGATTGGTTTAACCAATCCTAAAACACCCGAAGTGACACAAATCTCTATCGACCTCAGGATCCTGAGATTGGATTTTGATGATTTTGGGTCCATTAGAATCGTCTCATCGAGACAAACATTTTGGTAATTGTTTCATCGAAAACAGACTAGTGGATCAAAAGTTACTCACAGTTAATTATGATTGAAATTTTTAATAGTAAATTCCCAAAATCTGCCAATATAGTTTATGGAAAAACCAAATAAATTCAGCTATAATAATCTAGCGAGGAGTGAAGAAATAGCTTTATCAACCAGGTGGATCATTAATGAAACATGCTCAAGATCAAAATACTAATAAACTTGAAAATTCAAGGTAATTTGAAAGATTTTTAACACAGGTAGAAAAGTGTTGATGTAAAATAAAAATCTATGAAGTGTATGTCTCTTTTCTTCACAATTGCTATCAAAGATCTAGCGATCCTCTCATACTAATTAATTTGTGAATGAACAGATCGCCAAATCTGAAATTAGTTTACATAGTATCTAAATTCGGTTTGTTAATAATGAGGAGTATATTATATAACGGGATAAGTTAATAATAAATTGCAAATGCTTATCTGACTAAAATTCGAGTAATTGTATTGATTTGGATATTATATCTGTTTGCTCTTATCTAGCAAATAATTCTGGACAATGTGAAAATAGTATATAGTCAGGTAAGAGTAAAATGATAAGAAAATTTTTTTCTTCGTAAACCAGCTCAGCATATTCTATACTATGAGTTTTGAACCACTTAGCGAAAGAGAACTTTCTAAAAAATACCCCAAATAATCAGAGTTATTAAAATTTTTAGGAATAAATATTCTAAAAAGTTATCCAAATTCTCTTGCAAACAATATTACAATACCAGAGCTAGAGAATTGTCATGAATGTAATGAAGAAATTTTTTTAAATCTGCCCAAAGCATTTATTATGTTAGTATGTAGTCATACTCTCCATCACAACTGCTTTAAAAAAGTAACAGAGATAAGCAAAAAACTTGCCCCATTTGTTTTGTAGATAATGAAGGACTGGTGTTAGCTGAAGTTCAGGATGTAGATATGACAGAGGCAGTAGAAGGTAAAAGTGAAGAAACCTCTAATCTAACAAGAGAGGTAAGAAAATTATCTGTAGACGACGGTAGAGCTATCCCCCAAAGTAAAATAAAATCCATAGAATCTGAAAAAGTGCAAGGTTTAATAAAAGAACTGTCTATGCCTCGTGAACCAATTGATGATAATGATAGAGAAAATAAAACCAGGGAATTAAAACCAAAAACTTTACTCCAGTTATATTATAATGCAAGCCAGGCAGAAAAATATGTAGCCTGAGTCTACCAAGAAGAAATTAGATGTTGGTACCTGTTTGCTGAAAAATTTGAAGAAAAGGTTAAAGAAATTAAAAATGATAATAGTAGATTTAATAATCAACAAGCTAGAGGGTTAGTTTATGGCGAAATCACAACGAATATTCCAGGATTCACAAGAGAAAGCTTACGTAAAAAAACAGCAAAAACTAAAAATATTTATAAGTTGTTTGGTGAAAGTTCCCTGAAACCAAAACAGTAGTTAAGGGACTAGAGATTAAAAAAATAGAACGAATTCAATCATATAGTGCGATTATATTTCAAAACTTAATACTACACAAATTTATAGTATTATAAAGCATTTTAGCTAGTGCAGATCGTGTCCGCCAACATGACATAAATATTTTTTATTAATAAATCATATATAAGTATAATTATATAATTAAATTTATACGTATTAAAGTTTATACATATCAATAAATGCTTGTTAAATATAGATATTCAATCAGATATCGACCTAAGGTTTATGCATAAGACAGAGTACAAACACATTGCAGGTTTGAATAATAAAAAATTTTTTAGCCACATATAATTATTTTTCTATTAATACAACAATGATAAAAAATCATAACAATATATATACAAATAAAAAAAGCCGAAATTATATCGAAAAGTAGCATATCTTTAGAGAATAGAAGCGTGGGTATAAGGTTTGTGACGAATGCAATCACCATTCACATCTATATTGTAAGACATGCAAAAAAGTAGCAGAGAGAATATATAAGCGATGTGAATATAAAAATTTTCTAAATAGAACCTCAAATAATTAATAAATAAATCAGAATTAGCAATTTGGTGCCATATAATGAGAATTTGTTCAAGATATTAGAATAAATTCTGCTCTACAGCAAAATTATTATCGAATAAAAATTCATCTCATAATCGAAATTTCCACATGTTGGGTCATGGCCTCAACTTTGCGATTTATTAAACTTTCAACTAAAATATGGTTTATATGTCGAGGAATATCACACGTATGATCAAAAATTCAGATTCAAAAATTATATATATGTAACCTGTTGTACGACAATCTGATTGTTTGTATAAATTATAAAAAGGTGAATGTATGACTATTTCTTGCTAAATAAATTTTTTCGCTTTCTCTGCTCAAGTTGTACAACTTTTATAACACAAAAAAATAAGCAACTATGTCTGATCATACCTCTCTTCCATCAGCCGAAGAAGTTAATGAATGAAGCCCGCATCAAGTTATTGAATTTCTGGAGTCCTATAATAAAGAAAAAAGTTATTTCTTGAAGATGGAGACATTAAAGCAATTAAAGATAATCGTGTCCACGGTCCGGCCTTTCTTAAGCTGAATGTGGATAAGCTTATAGCTCACCCTTACAATCTTCTTGATGGACTAGCCGAAACAATTGCAGAGTTGATTGATAAAATTAAGGGCGAGGACCAGGGTAAGTAGTACCACAACTGCATTCGAAGACACAAAGTGTTGAGTCTCTGACTCATATTCCAAACCTATACTGCTTTCTCTGCAATAATTTTATTTATTAACTTGTATCTCATACACTTATTACTGTTATATAGAGCAAAAGCTTCAAGGTTTCATATTCTTGTGCTATTAACTTTATTTTTCTATGTGTTCTTGTTTACTGTCACCGAACATAAAAAAATAACCAACTAATGTGTATTATCTCCTCTATATTAGTAGCTCCCTCCATATTAGTAATACCAAAAGGTAAGTTCCAATTTTCTTAATTCTTCTTTTTTCCCTTCTGCTCTTATTCTGACTACTTCATTATTATAGATATTTCTATTGAAATAATAAAGCAATTAATTCAAAGTTCTGATCAACTTCCTTATAAATCCGACTTGACAAATTTCCTTAACAAAAATCCTCTAGTAAAAATACTGCTTGCTCCTAATCTTTTTTACCAAATTAGTACTATGGGTCCAGATAGTATAACTGAAGAAGAACAAGATACATATTTTATATTAAGTACAGAAGCAGAGTGTACATTTCTTTTTGCAAAACTTTTAGGATAGTTAATTTACCCTTCCTCATATAGAAAAACTGAAGATTCGTATTATTATTTGTGGGATTGTATTATTAAAAATACTTTAGAGTTATTTGGAATGCATAGCGCTAGTTTATCAACTTTGGAATTTGATCGCAATACTAACAAACAAACCTCAACAGGTAAACTAAAATAGTGTGATTTATAAGTATAATATATATTAACAAAAAGATTCATAGGTTGCAATCACCCAGACATGGTTGTATTAGTAAGAAATGTTTGTCCTCTTTGAGGTAAAGAAAAGTCTTGGAACGAAGCAGGAGATCTTTCAAGTGAATTAATTGACAAAATCAAAAATTGGACCTACAGAGATGTACTATACATCTTTGCATACTATGCTATTAGTGTTCAAGTCATATTTGTTACTTTGTATAAATCTGAAAATAAGAAAAAGAAACTGAATGTTTGTTCTGATCAGATTGCAGAGTTTGATTTAGAGCGTTTATCAAATAGAATTCGCATTATGAATTTCCTTTGAAATATTTGTAAGTGCTTTTTGTAATTAACTTATTATCTCAAAATACTAACATATTATATGGTTATTTAGGTT